GTAATGGCGACCATAGTCTGCAGAAACGGCAGAAGCGGCTCACCACACCAGCCCACACCTGCCGTTTTTTAATTTGTTTTTTTTTTGTCTGTAAGTTTTATTTTTGATCCATTTATCTTCCTTTACTGCCTCCTTTATAGTAAGTATGTATTTTCTGCTGTATCATTTTCTTCTTTTTTAATTTATTTTTATTTTATTTTTTTAAGAGAGAGGGATAGAGATAGAGAGAGAGAATTTTAATATTTATTTTTTAGTTTTCAGCGGACACAACATCTTTGTTTGTATGTGGTGCTGAGGATCGAACCCGGGCCACACGCATGCCAGGCAAGTGCGCTACCGCTTGAGCCACATCCCCAGCCCCTCATTTTCTTTTTATGTTTATATTTTATGAGAAATTTTCTTAGTGGTGCTTTAGGCATTACAACATGAATCTGAACTTTTCACATTCTACTTTAGAGTAAAACTAGCTTAATTCCAGCAAAATACAGACCTAAGCCACAACACAGGCCCACTCTCCCCTCTGTTGTGCTGCTATTAGGCCTGTATATGTACTACACTCAGCAGTACAGCACTGTAATATTCTCTTAAATCCACTTTAATCAGCCATTCCACTAAAATTACTTTTAATGTGCTCTGTGAGAGTTTATTCCAGCGGACCTAGAATTCACCTGAGCTGATTGGCTTCAGTTTTAACTTGTCATTGACCCTTTGTAAAAGGCATAACATGAATTGATAGTCTTGGTTTGTGTCCATGGGTCCAAGAAATCTTGGGGTGGTTTCTCCCAGTTTGTCGGCATTGTTTACTGAAAACAGTGAGATAGATCATTTGCATATGGTCCCAGTGGGACTCGGAAGGGTTGAGCTGTTGGGACTGGTTATGTGATAGAAACAGCTCCCAAGGCTCTGGACCACTTGCTTTGAGGAAATCTGATTTAGTGACAGAGCTGCAGTTGTTAAAAGACTGTCACTTTGTTTCTGGTGTCTTGAAATTTGTTGTCACTATAGTTTTCTCTTTTTTATTCCAAAGCTATTAAGTGCAATTTTGTAATATTTATTTATCTATTGGTACTAGGGGTGCTTTCCCACTGAGCTACATCCCCAGCCTTTCTAATTTTTATTTTGAGACAGGGTCTCACTAAATTGTGAAGATTGGCTTTGAACCTGCAATCCTCTTGCCTCAGTTTCCCCACTCGCTGGGATTACAGGCATGTGCCACTGTGTCCGGCTATAATTTTCTTTATATCCAGTTTTCTTCTTTTTGCACATACTATTGAGAGATGGGCAATACAAAAAAAAAAAAAAAAAAGATGATGAAGGAAGGAAAGGTCCAGGAGCGGGAGAGAAACAGAGAGGAAGCTATATGAGAGCCGGATCAGGACTGTGATAGTGTGGGTATCCATAGCACCACTCATCCACTTTCCAATCTCTTCCTTGTCAACTTTTATTCGCACTCTTGCCTTGGCAGCACATATATCAGAATTGAAACATACAGAGAAGACGGGCACGGTCCCTGTGCAAGGATGACATGCAAATTCACCAAGTGTTCTGCAGTTTTTTTTTTCTCTCATGTGTGGAAGCTAGACCAAAATAAGGGGAAAAAGTAGTGGTGGGGCATCCCATGAAAATGGAAGAAAGATTAGGGGAGTGGAGGAAGAGGGGAGTGAGAAGCAGGGAGGAGCAGTGGGAAAAGGGAGGAACACTGGAATGATATCCACCAAACTATCGTGAGTGTGTATGAATATACCACAGTGAACTTCACCTTTATGTATATCTATAAAGCAGAGATATACATTTAAAAAGTTCTAATTTAAAAAGAACTATGAGAAAATAGAAGAAAGACCAGCAGAGGAAAGGGAACAGGGGAGAGAGGAGGGGAGGGAAAGGCAAAGCGCTGGGGACAGAATTGGAGAAATTATATTCAAAGCCTGTATAATTATGTCAAAATGAACTCCAGTGTTATGTATAACTCTGATGCAGTAATTTAAAAAAGTGAAAGAAAAAAAATTTTTAATTCATTCCCTTTTCTCTTTCCTTTTGCTTCTCACTTTGTGTTTTCATTGATTAAATAAAACTCACTCAGACTGCTTAGCTTGGTATCTGAAATGGCTTGCCTTGAAGTGCACTTTGAATCTACCTCCTCATCAAGGTGATCTCTACATGACGTCACATAGTAATGCCATATACTTTATCATTTGGTTTATGACCATGGCGGTGCTGCAGGGCAAGTTGGAAAAGAATGGTTTATCCACAGATTATATTGGGTGAACTGAATATTCATAAGAAAAAATGTATCTTTGCATATACCTTATTCCATACTCAAAATTGATTATAGATGGATTTTAGTTCTAAATATGAAAGGTAAATCCATAAAAGCTTTTAGAAAACAGAACATCTTTATGACTCTGGAGTAGGAAAAAAATTAAGAGGATTTAAAGAATACTACTTACAAAGGACAAAATTGATAAATTGGGTCATATTAAGATTAAGAAATTATTTTTCTAAGAGATTCTATTAAATAGAATGAGAAGAACCCCCAAGAATGGGAAAAGATCCTTGCAATGCTTATATCCAAAATGGCTCTGTTATTCAGAATATAGAACAACTCTGACAAATCAAGAAGAAAAGACAACACAATAAAACAGAAATTGGCAAAATCTCAAACTACCATATCACAAAACAAACAAACAAAAGCAGTATCTGAGTGGCAATAAACATGAAAAAAGAGTCAATTCATTAGTAATGGTGAGGGGCAAAATGAAATATAACACGGCGCCACCGCATTCCCACAGAAATGACAAAATGAAAAAAGAGACAACACCAAGTTTGAAACAACCTCGGGGGCCAAACATACCTGTATTGTTGTACCTGTATTACAAACATAATACAGAGTGGGAAAAAATCCAGATTCAGAAAAAATGCATTCCTTTTATATGCAGCTCAGGATCAGGCAAAACTAGGCTATACTGTTTGGGAATCCATAGTCTGCAAAATTATAAAGAAAAACAAAGATGTATTAACCATAGAAATCAAGGAGGAGGGGGGCTGGGGATGTGGCTCAAGCGGTAGCAAGCTCGCCTGGCACGCGTGTGGCCCGGGTTCGATCCTCAGCCCCACGTACAAACAAAGATGTTGTGTCTGCCGAAAACTAAAAAAAATAAATAAATGAATATTAAAATTCTCTCTCTCTCTCTCTTTCTCCCTGTGTGTACTTGATAATTATCTGTTAAATCCAACAGCTGTATCTTATGTACTTTTCCATGTTTATATAAAATATGTGGATAAAGGCATAAATTTATTATTTCATAATAATTTATTTTGTAAAAAAATAAATAGAAAAGAATAAATTTGGGTACACAGCACACATTGACAGTTAATTCCTTGGCCTCTGAATCTACCTTCTGGCCTCTTATACTGACAGGGGTCCAATAGTCCTGATAGCTAGAGTGCAGAGTCCACTCTGACTTATTTCCATATTGGTTCTCGTAATCACTCAGTTTCAAGGCCCTCATTTTCTATTTAAGATCGATACCAAGTATTCTATAATTAAACTAACCCCTATCTAAATCCACATTCCCAGCCCTTTCAGCAGAAAGTCAGGTTTGGGCTGATTGTCAGGACTGCCCTTGTTGGGTTCGGATTAGGGTGCTTTTGTTTCTCTGATTTACTACCAAATCCTCAGATTTTCCTTGAAGTCATAAAAGTGCAAAGGAGTTTATTACACTTCTTTCCCACATGTACAGCTTAGGTAACTCTTCCTTCCAGGCGACTCCTCTCAGTGACTCAAAGGGAACGTTCTATAGAATGGCTGACTTGAGGCATTTTATCAAGGAAATCAAGGAAAAGACATTATTGGGCGTGTGAAGGTACAAACCTGGGTGGAGAGAGTAAGAGAATCTACTATATCAGACTCAAAGGGTCACACAAAATACGGGATTTACTTTGCAGCAGAATAAGCATTTCAGTAAAATAAACAAAAGGAGAAGGAAAATAGACATGAGTTACCCATGCACGTGTTCCTCAGCCTTTGGCTGGGATTATGTGAAGACTTCATTAAATAATCTCAGAGGTATCTGCTGAATGACAGAGACAACATGTTCAAAGGATGGAGCTAGTACAAAGTCAGTTTGTCCTCTCAGTGCCACTGCAGGTGTTGGTTTCAGCTGGCATCACTTAATATCTCACTGATATTTGTCACTGTCATTGGATTCGTCATGTCATGGGTGTTGAATACAGAAACTTCCAAAGTTTCAGTTGTGTCCATACCAGAGTACCATTGTGATTCTCTCACTGTAGCAGATGATGCAGTTCCCATCACTCTAAAGCTAGTGACGACCAACATTTCCCTATAAGAAGCCCAGTGCTGAGGACGGTACCTGGAAATTTCACTACAGAGAAGAAAAAATAACACACACAGAAAAAATTTAAATTGCCCACACTAGAGTATCCTAACTATCTATATAACACAGTTGTCTGTTTATAAAGCAACCTGGAATGTAAAGCTGTCCTTCCCTTACAAAATAAACACAGAAAAAAACTGAGGATTGATTCTCTCGCTATATGAATGGTACTAACATCAATTAATAATGAAAAATGCTTTTGTATCTAAATTCATTTAATTTGAACAACAAACCCCAGAGTTCTACCATGACTCAGTTTCAAGTCAAGGAAAGTGAAGTGCTGAGTTTGGGAATATGTATAAGATCATCCATATAATAGTTACAGAGTTGTGCTATGTGTCATGTTTTATTTTTATTATTATTATTTGTTCTACTTAGCAGTACATGACAGCAGAATGCATTTCAATTCATCACACACAAATGGAGTGCAACATTTCAATTCTCTGGTTGTACACAGTATAGAGATGCACCATTCATGCAATCATACATGTTACTAGGGTAATGATGTCCATCTCATAACACCATCTTTCTTTCCCCCATAACCCTCCCCACCCTCCTTTTTCCCCAATTCAAAGTTTCCCATGACTCCCCTGCCATCATAGTCAGCATCTACTAAACAGAGAAAACATTGAGTTTTTGGGGAGTGGCTTACTTCACTTAGCATAATATTCTCCAACTCCATCCATTTACCTGCAAATGCCATAATTTTATTCTCTTTTAATGCTGAACAATATTCCATTTGTTATGGGCCAGGGTATATGAGCAATGCCCAAATAGACTCTGTTTTACCCTGAGATTCCATATCATGTAAGAAATTCTTCTCCCATGGGAAAGCCTGGCTCTGTACCCATTAATAGTTACCTAGCATAGCATAATTGGCCATTCACAAAATAGCAATTCTTATACAATATAAATTTTTTCTCTTTGGTTTCCATTTTTCTTGGGCAATGTACTTTGTCAGAGATTGATTGTCTAGACATTAGTAACCATTCTGTAACTTGTACTGAACTAGGGTTATTTTGATCCAATTCCCTTCTGCTTGCTTGCTGCTATGCCAACCTGGAAAGTCCTGTGGGAAATACCAATGTATCCATTGCATTGTCTCTCTAACTTCCCAATTCAACTTCTGTACCTGCTTGCTTGCAGCTATGTCAACCCAGATGTGTTTTTTGCCTTTAAATAACCTAAAATGCTCAGGCTCAGGGCTATTCCTTGCAGAGACAGTTATGGGTCCTGTAGGGAGCAGTCGCCAGCCGGCCAGCTAAATAAAGACTCTTCAATTTGGACAAAACTGGGACTTGGTGTGTTTTCTGAGAGAACTGCCCCACAACACGTTGTGTATATATACCACAGTTTCTTTATCCATTTATCTATTGTTGGGCATCTAGGTTGGTTGCACAGTTTAGCTACTATGAATTCAGCTGCTATAACATTGGTGTGACTATGTCACTATAGTATGCTGATTTTAAATCCTTTGGGTATAGACCAAGGAGCGGGTTAGCTGGGTCAAATGGTGGTTCCATTCCAAGTTTTCGGTAGAATCTCCACTCTGCTTTCCAAAGTGGTTACACCAATTGGCAGTCCCACCTGCAAAGTAGGAGTGTAACTTTCCCCCATATTCTCTCCAAGACTTATTATTGCTTGTATTCTTGGTAACTGCCATTCTGACTGGAGTTAGATGAAATCTTAGAGTAGTTTTGATTTGCATTTCTCTAATTACTAAAGACAGTGAACACTTTTTGATATATTTGTTGTTCACTTGTTTATCTTCTTCTGAGAAGTGTCTGTTCAGTTCCTTAGCCCATTTGTTGATTGGGTTGTTTCTTTTTTTGGTATTAAGTTTTTTGAGTTATTTATATATCCTAGAGATTAGTGCTCTATCTGATGTGCAAGTGGTAAAAAATTGCTCCCATATTGTAGGCTCTCTCTTCACCTCAATGATTGTTTATTTTGCTGAGAAGATGCTTTTCAGTTTGAATCTATCCCATTTATTGATTCTTGATTTTATTTCTTGCATTTTAGGGGTCTTGTTAAGGAAGTCGGGGCCTAATCCAACATGATGAAGATTTAGGCTTGCTTTTTATTCTGTTAGGTGCAGGGTCTCTGGTCTAATTCCTAGATCCTTGATCCGCTTTGAGTTTTGTGCATGGTCAGAGAT